GAAGATACAATACAAGACACCCTCAGATCTAATCGACGACGCACGCATATAGATACAGATCAAAACTGCAATCCACTTTCCATTTTCATTTTCCTTTTGGTTCTCGGGAAAGAGGCAAAGGAAACTGGAACAGTTCATCCACAATTTGCCGCCCATGGATCTGATGCGCTCCGAGAAGATGATGTTGGTGCAGCTCATAATTCCCGTCGAATCCGCTCACCGTGCAATCTCCTATCTCGGCGAACTCGGTCTCTTCCAGTTCCGTGATGTATGTCTCGACTCAGATTCGCTTGATTCTTCTTTCAATTGTTTCATTTTTAACAATATATTTCGTCTCCTTGCTTGGAACGTAGATGAAATTCAGTTCGAAGTAGAACACTTCATTAATCGAGTTTTTAATCAATGTAGGCGGTGAAGTGTGTTTTATAGTGAATCTGCTGTTTCGTATGAGATGTTTTGAGTCTGCTGCATCTAAATATCAAGAATTATAGTTGTAGATTTTCATTAAGGAAGTATTTGGGAAAAAGCTTATGTAATTAAGGAATTTCTAGATTCTAGTATGTAAGATGGTACTCCTGAATTGTATGGCTTCATAGTGGTTTTGAGTTTCCTCAGAAGAGAAGTTGATTATTTAGTTTGATATGTATGTGCAACTCTTGAATGAGTCTATTAGTACAACACTGGTCTTTGGAGCAATTACAATGTACAAAATTTTACACATGCAATGAATATGAGTGGCTTTCAATTAATTTACCCCCTTGGATACTAATTGTCATTAATATTTCTCCCCTTGGCAGTTAAATGCTGATAAGAGCCCGTTTCAGCGAACATTTGCAAATCAGGTATATCGCCACTTTATCACTTAAGTCTCTTTCTCTTTTTACTATAATATGCATTGTTGATTTTGGTTTAGTGTTTGGTTGGAGGAAACGTTAGTAGCTGCCAGTTGTTTAAATTATGTTTTCTTTGAACAATCCATTGTATTACACAGAATGGTTTTCTGGTGAATTAAATGGAATATTTTTCTGTTTTTCTGAATTTTTTTTT